GCTATTTCCCTCTGCATGACCTTAAATTCTGCCTTTTTATGGCTGATATAGATCCTCAAAGATTTTTTTTTCTCTCTCTCCTTCGCCTATTTGACTAAGTCGCGACAGCAATCAAGTCAGATTTTAAACTCTCACTCAGATCCGATTTGAAGCCAGATATATTAAGCTATGGTGATCGAAGTTCTACTGCGGAGTTATATGTTGTTTATTACGTGGCTTGGGTCTTTGAAGTGTTTGGTAGATTTTTTTTCGCGACTGAACGTGAATGAGAAAAAGGCTTATCCTCTTTTTTAAGAATGATACAGACACACACACACACACACACACACACACACACACACACACACACAAACACACGCACACACATATATATGGACAGAGAGATGAATAAAATACTAGCAAAAGACTTTAATACTCAACTAACTTTTAAAAAGGAATTTTTGAAAAGACACTGAAAATAAAAGAGTTGGAAATACAAATAAAAAGTTAGAAAAAACATTATCTTTCCTTTAAAGAGAACAACAAAAAACAACAAACAAAATCCGTCAATTCAACCGACACTTTGGAAGAAATAATAAAAACAAAATAATGTTTTTTTCTTCTTTTTTGACAGATAGACAAGATGGCTGGGATGAAAATGCTCCTTTTAGCAGCGGTCCTCTATTTGGGCGGAGTGAAGGTGGGTTGGGGAGTGGGCGAGTGGGAGTGGGGAGTGGGGCGAGTGGGGGGAGTGGGCAAGTGGGGGGAGTGGGCAAGTGGGGGAGTGGGCGAGTGTGGAGGAGGGGGTGTGAGGGGGAGGGGAGTGAGGATGGTCGACGTGGTAGGCGAGTGTGGGGGCGGGGGGAGTGGCGGAGTGAAGGTGGGGGGGTTGTGGGTGTGTGGGGCGAGTGGCGGGGTTGGGTTGGTGGGGCGAGTTGGGGGGTTGGGGTGGGTAGGATTGGGTCGGATGTTGGGCGAGTGGATGGGTGAGTGAGTTTGTGGATGGCGTGGTGGGCGGGAGGGTAAGTGGGTAACAAAAATCAGTATATATATAACTCAAGATGCTGTGTCGGTGAGAGATGAATAAGGGAGGATATATATGTGTGTGTGTGTGTGCGTGTGTTGTGTGGTGTATATTATCTTTTTTTATTATTATCATTTTTCAGAAAACACACCCCACTTATACATATATGTATGCGTGTATGGTGTATGTTTGAGCGCACGTACATATAAGCACATGAACCTGCATACACCACGCCACATACACCCATCGCCTCCCTCTGTCCCAACCTCCCCAGGTGGCAGCTGGCGCTTCCCGCTCGGAGCAGTGTCGCTCAGAAGGTGGCAGCTGCGTGTCTGCCGGAAGCTGCCGTTCCCCCGCGGTGGCTGCCTCGGCCTGCGAAGACGGACCCGCTGTGTGCTGCAATCCCTCGGGGTTGAACGCCTTCGCCCGCACACTGGAGCTGGACGGGTTCGAGATCGGCCTGAGAGTCAGTGAGTGCCTTTGGGTTCGTCGTCTCTCTTTCTGCGTTGGTCTCTTTGGTGTGTGTGTTTGTTTTCTCTTTGTTATTTTTTTTTCTGACAGATATGTTGTCTTTCACTCTTCTTGTCTAAGTATCTTCGATATGCTTTCTCTCTGTCTCTCTGTCTCTCTCTCTCTCTCTCTCTTTTGCCGTCTTTTCTAGCGGTCACGGCAAAAGCGACGCCTCTCGCGTGACAGGTATTGAGCAGGTGGTAAACATTTAAGAAGTTGCTAGATGCATTTTTCCTACCTTAGTTATTTTCTTCCATATATGTACTTATTATTGGATATCTACATCACAGTAGAGTCCACCATATCAAAAGTCACTTAGGATATGATATTCCAAAATTCTGTGAACCAACCAATCGAAAAAAAATAATCAGTATAGTAAAGCAGCTAGCCGTCAACCGCGGCCATTCCCATTACGTCACGGAAGTGGGCGGAGCTTAGCAAAGTGTCTCGCCTCTGATTATGAGACAGCTTTTGGGTGTTGGCGTGCGTCGCGTGAGACCCTAATTAAAGGCCCTATTGCAGTAGCACTTTTTCTGTCAATTTTTGCATTTCCGGATGAACTTTTCGCGTGGAAAAGGACTGACTATCACACTACCAAGGGATAAAACATTGTGAATAAACCTGGTGCCATCGGAGTTAGGACCCGGGAATCATACGAGCATTCTCATGCCTATCACGTTATTTTAAAGGAATATGATGACGTATGTTGTTTATATGATTGTTCTAAAATATTAGCTCATGTTTGCATTCACTCAACTTATTTTATCCATAAGAGACATTCTAGCTGTATAGATCTTTCGTAGCACAAGATCAAGACGGAAATTTGTAAGACGAAAACGTTCATTGCCACCGGAAAAGATGGCTTTTACCTTTATTTGTTTTTTTGTTTTGTTTTGTTTTTCTCTTATATATTCGATTTCTCTTCATCTCTCTTGTTTTCTCTCTCTCACTATCACCTTTCCATCTCTGTTTTCTCTATGTTATTTCTCGCCATTTCTCTCTCTCTCTATCTGTCTACACACACACACATACACACACACAACACACACAACACACACACACACACACACACAACACACACACACAAACACACACACACAACACACACCACAGACACACACACACACATATAAATATATATATGTAATCTTTCTCTTTCCTCTTTCTTCTCCCTCTCCCTCTCCCTCTCCCACTCTCCTAGCCGAAACACTTACACTCATAACACCACCCCCCCCCCCTTAAAAAAGTCCAAAAATAAAAAGCAAAAAAAAAAAAAAAAAAAAAAACATCTTAAATAAAGCAACACCCCAAAAAGGGAGAAAAAAAAGAAATGAAATCTTAAATAAAGCAAAAAAAGCAAAAAAAAAAAAAAAAAAAAAAAAAAAACAGAAAAATAAAAGATAAAATAAAATAAAAAAATAAAATACACCATCTTCACAACCTGGTTTCCTCTCTCCCAGACCCTTGCAGCGACCAAAATGCCGCAGATGGTACCGAGGTGTCTGGTTGACTGACCCTGCCACCTGCACAGACAAGAAACGGCTGGTGAACTACTGTGCGACCACTAACCAATGGTATAGGGGAGAAGTAGGGGGTAAAATGGGGGTGTTTGTTGGTGGAAGGGGTGAATTTATATGTTTATTTTTTTATTTTTTGTTTATTTATTATCATAACGATAATAATACCCTCCTACCCTTCTACCTCCCTACCCCCTACCTTCCCCCTACCCTACCTCCCATCCCCCCCCCCCCCCCTTACCCAACCTTCCTCCATCTCTCTCTCTCTCTTTCCTCTCCATCTCTCTCATCTCCTCCTTTCCTCTCTCCCATCCAGGTGTTTGCGCCCGCCCTGCTCGTGGATCCCCTCCCCAACCCTCTCCTCCCCTACCCCCCCCCCCTTACCCAACCCTCTCCTCCACCTCTCTCTCCCCTCTCCTTCCCCCTCTCCACCTCTCTCATCTCCTCCTTTCCTCTCTCCAGGTGTTGCGACCCACCCTGCACGAGGAAGTCCCCCCCCCAAACCCTCCCCCTCCCTACCCCTTACCCCCCCATCTACCCTACCCTCTCTCTCTCTCTCTCTCCCTCTCCTCCATCTCTCCCTCTCTCTCCCTCTCCACCTCTCTCATCTCCTCCTTTCCTCTCTCCCAGGTGTTGCGCCCCGCCTGCACGAGGAAGTCCCCCCCCCAACCCTCTCCTCCCTACCCTCCCACTCCCTCCATCTCCCTCTCTCCCTCTCCCACCTCTCTCATCTCCTCCTTTCCTCTCTCCCCATCCGGTGTTGCTGCTCGAGGAAGTCCCCCCCCCAACCCTCCCCCTCCCCCTCCTTACCCCTCCCCCTCTCTCTCTCCCCTCTCCACCTCTCTCATCTCCTCCTTTCCTCTCTCCAGGTGTTGCGCCCGCCCTGCTTCAGGAAGTCCCCCCCCCAACCCTCTCCTCCCCTACCCTCCCACTCCTCCCTTTCCCCCCTTACCCCCCCTCTACCCTACTCTCCTCTCTCCTCTCCATCTCTCTCATCTCCTCCTTTCCTCTCTCCCATCCAGGTGTTGCGCCCCGCCCTGCTTCAGGAAGTCCACCCCCCCAACCCTCCCCTCCCTACCCTCTTACCCTACCCCTCTCCCCCTCCTTCTCCTCTATCTCCCTCTCTCTCTCCTCTCCATCTCTCTCATCTCCTTCCTCTCTCCCTCCAGGTGTTGCGCCCCGCCCCTGCTCCCCCCCCAACCCTCTCCTCCCCTATCCCACTCCCTCCTCTCCCTCTCCCTCTCCTCTCTCTCATCTCCTCCTTCCCTCTCTCCCATCCAGGTGTTGCGCCCCGCCCTTCCACAGGTCTCCTCCTTTCCTCTCTCCCCATTGTTGCTGCAGGAAGTCCCCCTCCCTACCCCTCTCTCTCTCTCTCTCTCTCCCTCTCCTCCATCTCTCTCTCCTTCCCCCTCTCTCCACCTCTCTCATCTCCTCCTTTCCTCTCTCCCCATCCAGGTGTTGCGCCCCGCCCTGCACGAGGAAGTCCCGCTGCCAGAAGAAGAAGGGATACTGCGTTCCGAGGAAGGATATGTGTCCCAGTGGCAGGACGAGGCGCCGGCTGTGTGGTGGCAGGATGTGCTTCTGCTGCTTGCCAGGTGAGGTGGCGGAAGTGGAGATGAGGAAGTGGAAATGAGAAAAGGTGGAAATGAGGAAGTGGAAATGAAAATGGAAGTGAGAAGGAAGGAAATGAAAAATAGAAGTGAGAAGGGTGGAAAGGAAAAATGGAAGTGAGAGAAATGAAAAATGGATAATGCAAAAATGAAATGAAAAATGGAAATGAGGAAAATGAAAGAGAAGGAGAGGAGAGTTAAATGGAATGAAAGAGAATGAAAATGCGAAAAATTGAAACGATGAACATTAAATGAAAAATGGAAATGAGAAAAATGAAAAAGAGAAAAGAAAAGAAGAAGAAAAGTAAATGGAATGAAAGAAATGAAAAGGGGGAAAATGAAAATGAGAATGATGAAAAATAAAAGAAAACGAAGATTAAATAAAATGAAGGCGGAGGAAAAAAGGTAAATGAAGAAAAAAAGAAAAAAAGAAGAAAGGGAAATTGAAGTATAAAGAAGAAAAGTCAAAGGAAAACCAAGAAAAAATAAAATGAAAAAAATCCAATTAAGAAAGGGAAAAGAAAGAATAAATGAAAATAAAACAGGAAATGAATCAAAGGGAGAATAAAAAAAACGAAGAAGAATGAAAAAAAGAAAATGAAAGAAAAATATGAAAAAGGAAGGAGAATGAAAAATAGAAAATGAAAAGAATAAGGAAATTAGACACGAGGAGGGGAAATAATAATAAAAAAAAACGAAAAAAAAAGAAAAAATAGAGAAATAAAATGAAAGAAAAAAGATGAGCTAAAAAATAAAGAAAGTGAAAATGATGAAGAGAGACAGAAAGAGAGGAGGAAGCACTTATCGTTCTTGTCTTTTCATCTTTGCAATACGTCTTTTCATTCCTACAAAATCCAATTATTCATATCAAAGTAAAAAAAAAAAAAAAAAAAAAAAAAAAAAAAAAAAAAAATATATATATATATATATATTATATATATATATATATTATATATATATATATATATATATATATATATATATATATAGATTAGCTCCTAATGTTTATTCTAGAAATGAAGTCATCTTAGAAGTCATCCTAGATTTACTGTGATTGTAAAATTATATTTCATGAAAAAATATCTCTATATTTATCTATCCATCTATCTATTTATCCATCTATCTATCTATCTATCCACCTATCTATCTATCTCTCCATATATCTATCTATCCATCCATCTGTCTATCCATCTATCTATCCATCTCTCCATCTATCTATCTATCTACCATCTCTCCATCTATCTATTTATCTCTCCATCTATCTATCCATCTCTCCATCTATCTATCTATCTACCATCTATCCATCTATCTATATATCTCTCCATCTATCTATCCATCTCTCCATCTATCTATCTATCTACCATCTCTCCATCTATCTATCTATCTACCATCTATCCATCTATCTATATATCTCTCCATCTATCTATTCATCTATCCATCCTATCATAATTATTATAATTATGATATTATAATTATAATACTATAAATCTACCTATCTATCTATCTATCGGTATAAATCTATAATGCCCCCTTTTTTTCTGTCGGCAGAATGGCCTGTCCCGGCCTGTCCCTGCTCCGCAAATAGAGGTTAGTATCAAAAGTATTTTTCTCTTCATATTTCTTTTTTTTTGGGGGTGGGGGGTATTTCAGAATCAGCTTCAGACCATCTTCTTCAAGATGCTCTATGCTTTGGACTCTATCTCTGTGGTTTTCTATCCGTGAAATACTATAGATTGGTGTGAATGGTGTGAATACTGTATGGTAGTGGCTCCCAATTTTTTTTTCTTTCTTTCTGTAGCCCCAGAAAAATGGATGATAATTTCCATGGTCCCTTTCAGTGGCCTTTTAATGAAGATTCTAATCAGATTCGGTTATTTATTGTTATGGATAGTGTAATGGTGTCGATATCTTTAGGATAAGAACACTTTATGTAAAGATTTCAATTCCTTGATATGTGAGAGATCATCTATCTATCTATCTATCTATCTAATCTATATATACACAACACACACACACACACACACAACACACACACACACACACACACACACACACACACACACACACACACACATATATATATAGGTATACACACACAAGCACACACACACACACACACACACACTCTATTCCAATAAGTTTTCATGATATGTAGGTTCTGTAGGTCAGAATTTTCATGTTGATCCATTGCCCCGTGCCCCCCCCCCCCCCCCCACCCCCCCCACCCCTGAACCATGGCCTCCAGATTAGGAACCCCTGCTCTATGGACCTGATAATAAACTTTTTTTTTTTTTTCTTTTTTATACCAGCTCTAGTTTTATGTATGTTGATGCTTAACCATGTTTGTGTGTGTGTGCGTGTGTGTGTGTGTGTGTGTGTGCGTGTGTGCGTGTGTGTGTGTGTGTGTGCGTGTGTGTGCGCAACGTAATATCAATAACCTCATGCAAAGCTGCTCTTAAGGGACATCTTTCATTCCAATATAATATCAATACCGCCTTTATTTCATGTTTATTATTATGATCATTATCATATTTTTTTCTATCATTATTGTTTATCACCATCAGCATCTTCATCATCATTATCATCACTATCATTTATCAATTTACCTATCTCATCTCTCTTTATCATCATCATCACTATCGCCATCATCATTATTATCACTATCATCAGTTTATCTATCTCATCTCTCTTTATCATCATTATCATCATTATAACCATCATCATCATTATTATCACCACCACCACTAATCAATTTATCTATCTCATCTCTCCCATTCCCTTCCCATACACCAGTATCGGTGTAGGATGCGGCAGGAACCTACTCATCACTCTTTATCATTATGAACATCATCACCATTACCATTACCATCATCATTATCATTATCCTCACTGCCATCAATCAATTTATCTATTTCATCTCTCTATCATCATCATCATCACTATCATCAATCAATTAATCTATTTCATCTCTCTTTATCATCATCACCATCATAATTATCACCTCTATCATCAATTGATTTATCTATTTCATCTCTATCATCATCACCATCATCATTATCACCTCTATCATCAATTAATTCATCTCTATGCATCATCATTATCACCTCTATCATCAATTAATTCCATCTCATCATCATCATTATCATCAAATCAATTTATCTCATCTATTTCATCTCTATCATCATCATCATCATCATCATCATCACAATTCAATCAATTCATCTCATCTACTCCATCTCTCCCCTTCTCTCCCCATCCACCAGTATCGGTGTGCGATCCGGCTGGCACTTACGCCCTTGCAGAAGACAGCTGCGTCCAAGTCCACAGCCCGAACTACCCTTACCCTTACGACAACGACGCAGCGTGTTCCCTCAGCGTGGTGGCTCCGAGCTTCTGCAGGATCACCGTCGAGTACTGCCAGGTGGCGCTCGAGAAGTGCCCCTATGATTACGTGAATGTCACCGACGGCGTGCCCAGGTGAAGGGGGGTATTGGGAAGGGTTAAGAGGGGGAAAGAGAAGAGGTGGAGAGAGGGTGTGTGGTTTGGGGTGTGTGTGTGTGTGTGTGTGTGTGTGTGTGTGTGTGTGTGTGTGTGTGTGTGTGTGTGTGTGTGTGTGTGTGTGTGTGTGTGTGTGTGTGTGTGTGTGTGTGTGTGTGAGAGAGAGAGAGAGAGAGAGAGAGAGAGAGAGAGAGAGAGAGAGAGAGAGAGTGAGTTTGTGTGGTATGCATTTATAGATGGATGGTTAGATGGATACATCTATATCTACACACACACACACACACACACACACACACACACACACACACACACACACACACACACACATATATATATATATATATATATATATATATATAACAAACAAACAAATAAATACATATATACTCCCCAATCTTAACTATACACAGCACAGACACACACCTTTTAAAGACAAACAAACTAACCAACCCCCATTTCTCCCTGCCCCCTCCCCCCCCCCTCTCCCCTATATGGTGACGGCGCCAACAGCAACTCATACTGTGGGGTGGTAAGCCCGGCTGCCTTCACCACAGCCGCTAACACAGTCGCCTTCAGTTTCTTCTCGGACTCCAGCCAAGTCAACAGAGGTTTCCAGGCTTCTCTCTCCACCAGCTGCGTGAGTCTGTGAGGTGTTCTTCGTGTCTGTTGAAAAAGGTTTTTTTTTTTTTTTTTTTTGTATTAAGATAGGCGGGTGGAAGAGTTTTTTTTATTTTTTATTTTTTATGTATTAAGATATGCGATTGGGTGAGTTTTTATTTTTTTATGTATTAAGATATGCGAAAGGATGAGTTTTTATTTTTTTTATGTATTAAGATATGCGAATGGATGTTTTTATTTTTTTATGTATTAAGTTATTTTTTTTATGTATTAAGATATGCGAATGGAAGATTTTTTTTTTTAATGTTTTTTATGTATTAAGATATGCGAAAGGATGAGTTTTTTTTTTTTTATGTATTAAGATATGCGATTGGATGAGTTTTTATTTTTTTTATGTATTAAGAAATGCGAATGGAAGAGTTTTTTTTTATTTTTTTTTTTTATGTATTAAGATATGCGAAAGGAAAAGTTTTATTTTTCATGTTTTAAGATATGCGGCTGGAAAATATATATATTTTTTTTATGTTTTGATATATGCGTCGTTCGATTTGGTTCATGTTTTTTGGGGAAACAGTTTTTAAATTTTGGTTATTTGTTCTTTTTCTTTTTGGAAGGATATGTGTAGTTGATTATTTTTTTGTATTATATATTCTTATTTCGTTGATCACCAGTTTATTTTTTGGTTTATCGATTCTGTAAATAATGTGTCGGGCTTTAATTTTCTTTCTCTCTTCCTTCGTACCCTCTCTCTCTCTCTCTCTCTTCCCCGTTTTCTTTTCGTTCTCGTTCTTTTATTTACCCTCTTCTTTTCTTCTTACAGTTCGACTGTACTCAGGGACCGACGTATCAAGGTTAGTTCAGCTGCTTTAGTTTATTATTTTTGTTTATATTTGTATATTAATATGTTAGCGTGCATGAGTTAGTGTGCGTGCGTGTGTGTACGTGTGTGTATACGTGCGTGAGCGTGTTCGTGTACCTCCATACGTACACAAACACGCGATTGCCTCTGTATGTAATCTAACTGAATAGTTTTTTTTTTTTTTTATATGTACATTAATATGCAAGCGTGCATGTGCTAGCTTACATGCGTGCGTGTGTGTACGTGTATGCGTATGTGTGGGCGTGAGCGTGTTTGTACACCTCCCTATGTACACAAACACCGCCATGTAAGTACTCTTCACTGAATTCGTGCGTATGTGTGGGCGTGGGCGTGTTTGTACACCTCTCTATGTACACAAACACCTCCATGTAAGTACTCTTCACTGAATGTCATACATACGTCTCTCCGTCCTCCTTCCCTCTCCACCTCTCCTCCTTCCCTCTCCACCTCTCCTCCCTCCCTCTCCATCTCTCCTCCCTCCTCCTCCACCTCTCTCCATCCTCTCTCACCTCTCCTCCTTCTCTCTCCACCTCTCCTCCTTCTCTCTCCATCGCAGTGTGCACCGACACCGCCGTCACCACCAGCACCGGCGGCCTCATCAACTCCCCCGGGTACCCAGGGACTTACCCGACCTTCGTGGACTGCACCCTCACCATCAGCGCTCCTGCAGGCTCCACCATCACCTTCAGCTACTTGAGTTTCGAGTTGGAGGATCCGCCGCCCACCTGTGGCTTCGACTACTTCCAGATCTACGACACGTCTTCACCGTCAACGTAAGATGGGGGGGGGGGGGATGTTGGGGATTTAATCTATTTATTAAGCGTTATTATCATCATTATCATTATTATCATCATCATCATCATTAGCATTATCACCATCATCATTATCATTATCATCATCACCATCATTACTATCATTATCATCATCACGTCATTATTATTTAACTGTAATGGAAATTGGGATTGAAATGCATTGAAGAAAATAATGCAAGCAAGCAATAAAATTTGTGATGAAATATAACGATGTATATAGAGGATTGTAATATATTTTTAATGAAACATAAAGGATGTAATGGAATATAATGACTTACGTAATGAAATATGAAAATGTATTTAATGAAGCATATCAATATACATAATGAAATATAGTGATATCTAATGAAATACATTTTAGTATATATATGTATATATACACATCTATATATGATGAAATGCCAAGATATACGTATTGATGAATGATACAGTAAAAAAAAAAAAAAAAAAAAAAAAAAAAAAATCGAGCGAGGTTCGAATTCCGGTTCGAACATCCGCTTCACACCTCACTTTTTGCATAGGGAAAGACAGATTCGAAGCTTCAGTTCCATAAAGGGCTTTTATCCGCCACTGCACCACCTGAGAATGTCCTCGTCCTCTCGCCCATTTCCTTCTTTTTATCAGTCTTAACGCATTTCCACTTCGCACAGGACAAAATACTGTGGAACTACCGCGCCCTCGTTCACGGCCTCCTCCACGAACAGCGTGACGATCAGATTCTCTTCAGATAAGTCTGATGTCTTTTCGGGATTCTCGATCTGTTTCGTGGTCGTGTAATAAGGTGAGTTGGGGTCGAAACTGTTATTCGGACATGGTTCGAATGCCGTCTCGAACGCTCGGGTGATACGGTTCTTGTTACGTTTAAAAGGTTTCGAAGCTTCATTTCCGGGATGAGGTTGTAGTGTTTGGTTTGAACTCTTATTCGGACACGATTCGAATGCCGTCTCGCATGGCCGGGCAATATGGTCCTTTTTGGTTAGGTTTCAAGGATTTGAAGCTTCATTCAAATATTTTTTATGTGTGAATTTACAGTACTTTAAGTCTCTATTTTCTTTACTGAGTATTTCAAATAAGTGAATCATCAGTTTCGAATTTTGTTTTCGAAACACATGACCCCATATACAGCAGTTCACGCGTGAACAATACTCTGCAATAAAAGAAAAAAAAAAAAAGAGAAAACATGCAAGAAACGCAAAAACAAGCACACCCACCCCCATAAAGACTGATATATAATAAAATATCTGAAATAAAATGAATCAGTAATGTAAATCGGGGGAATAAAATTTACATCTATTTTCAGAACTCGGACTGAACTCCCTTACCCGCAGATGGCAGTCAACGAACCACAACTTCTTTCTAAACTCTCCACGAAATGCTTCCAAAATCGAGAAAATGAGAAATAAAAAATCTGTAAATTACACGGATCGATGAATCAAGAAATGTAGTAATTCAGGATACACCGTCACAGTCCATTGAATAAAATCGATAAACTTTTGGTAAGTTGTAAGGGAAAACCACGTGACTTTCTTCGCTGTTCTTACCTAAAGAATGAAGAATTGTTTCTTGATATTACGCTTCTCTTGGTATATCATCCACGTAACTTTACCATTCTTCGTTTACCTTGATATTGAAAAACTTTCCATTTTATTCACTTTTCCTACATAACCCACATAACTCTTCATTATATCTTTACCTTAACACTGTAAAATGACCCTGAAAATTCACTATTCCTGACTGTATCTCCCATAAAACTTCACATTGTATCTTTCTCATATTACCAAACGCATATTTTCCTTGATACTTATTTTCCCTGCTTTTTGACCACACAAAAAAATAGGTTGTAGCCATCATAGGGTATACTCGGCCATGTGTGGTAGGCTTTCTCGTGTAGACTTCACCACCACACAGAACCTTTATATAACTATTCCCAAAGTGAGATTATGTATTCTGTAGTTGGTATTCACACTTATTTATGAATTATGTACTACGGCATATGTCCTTGATGTGCATTTGCTACATATGGTACTGAATAAAGTTTTTATCAGCATGTTACAGTGTTGTTTTGTGTACCATACACATACATAAACAAATTTATTTACATTTACAGAAACACTTATGCACACTTTTCCTCATGCATAAGTACACATGTATATATTCATTTACTTGCTAATGATCATTCAAGCATAATTTTGCATGGATGGTATTATCATCATTATCATTACTATTATTTTTGTTCTTTCATTATTATTATTATCATTATCTTTGTTATATGTATCATACTTATCATTACCATGATAATGATAAGTATAATAGCAATAATACCGATAGTGATACCAATGATGATAATAATACTGAGAATAATAGTGATGATAACAACGATAATGATATTGATAATAACGATAATTATTACCATAATAGTAATAATAACAATAATGGTCATAATAATATTGAAAGTGATAGTAAAAATAAAAATGATGCTAATGATGACGATGAGGATGATAATGACATTAATGATAATCATGATAATGATAATAAAAGTAACAATGATAATAGAGATGAAAATGTTAATGATAAAAAATATACTAGCATTAACAGTAATTATCACAATAATAAGGATTATAATAAAGATGATAATGATGATCATTATCATCATCGAGAAAAGGACGATGATAATTATGGTACAGATGATGATAACGGTAATAATGAATATAATAAGGTGATAATAATAAAAATAATGGTAATAGTAACAAATGTAATGATGATAATGATAATGATAATAAAGATAACACCAACAAGAACAACAATAATAAATAATAATAATATAATAATAATAATAATAATAATATAATAACAATAATAAAATGATATGGTATTAACAATGATAATAATTACGTCAATTATAACGGTTGTAAACAAAATAATAATGATGATAGTAATAGTAATAATAACAATAAAAACAATAATGAGGATAATCGAAATAATAATGATGATAACAAGGATAATGATGCTAATAATATGCTGATAATGATAATAATACTAATAATAATGTATACAACAATAATGATAATAATATTAATAATGATAATAATGATGATGATGATGATAATAATAATAATAATAGTAATAATAATAATAATAATAATAATAATAATAATAATAATAATAGCATTAGTAATTATTATGATGATAATCATAATGAAAATAATGATAAATATGATTATGATAATAATATTAATCGTAGTAGCAATGCTAGCGAAATTAACAGTGATAATCATAGCGATAATGATAACAATAAAAATAACAATAATTATATATATTTGTGTAAAGATAATGATATTATTATTATCACAATGATAATAATAGTAATAATAGTAATAATCATGATTATATGAGAGATAATGATAATAAGAATAAGATAATAATGATTATAACAATAACAATAACACTAATAGTGATAATGATGATAATGATAATAATAATGGCGAGAGACGAGTCGGGCCACTGTAAGCGCCGTGTGTGAACATTCACTCAGTAGTCGCGCTTCTAGCAGTCGGGCCACTAAAGTCGCTCGTCTGAACAGGGCCTTACACTTGAAGAAAGTAGCAGGCACTGTTCCTTGCTTTCCGCATAATACTGAGAATAATAGTGATATATTTATATATATATGTTCATTGCTAAATTTTACTCTGTGATATGTCACCTGTTATTTATCATTTGTTTCGAGAATGAAAATGAATTGGTTAGAAATATTTCAATGATCGTTGTATTTTGCACAATCCACCCCAATAGCCTTAATATTGTAGCCCCTTTTAAGCACCATTTATTAATTATCTCATCAGCATCTGACATTATTTTCATAGTCATCATTACACTCATTACTCTTACAGATTTAACTCATTAAATATATCAGTGGAGATGAGTGAGGAAAAGGTAACTACTTTTTTTTTTAAATTCATACATTATTTATGAATCGAATAATTCATACATTATATATTAATCGAAGAGCCAGTATGCAAAGCCAATCACACGAATCAATATGCAGATAACCAAACATTTAATTTCTTTACAATCCACTGGAAGACCTACACTAGATTGAGTGAAAATAACATAGCTTTACAATTAAGACTAACATGCCAATTGAAAATATTAGTTCACTTTAAGCAATCTGTTATCAACGACAAAATTCGAACAATGATTTTAGTACTGAAAGATGATGAGCCATCTTACAATCCACTGGAAGACCTACACTAGATTGAGTGAAAATAACATAGCTTTACAATTAAGACTAACATGCCAATTGAAAATATTAGTTCACGTTAAGCAAGCTGTTATTAACGACAAAATTCGAACAGCTGATTTTAGTACTGAATATGATGATGAGCCATCTTTACAATCCACTGGAAGACCTACACTAGATTGAGTGAAAATAACATAGCTTTACAATTAAGACTAACATGCCAATTGAAAATATTAGTTCACTTTAAGCAAGCTGTTATTAACGACAAAATTCGAACAGCTGATTTTAATACTGAAGATGATGATGAGCCATGAATAGAAGAATTTCTTTCTCATATGCAATTACGGAAATTAGATAACTGTTTCTAAAATTGATTAAACAAATTGTCAAACAGCAAATAGTAAAATCATATTAGGCAATATGAAATACTCAAATTAAGGCATGAAAATACTACTTTAATGCCCTTGCACAATTACTAAGTCAAAGCTTATCTTCATTAAAGAGTCCATTGGTACATAGCAAGAAAATAGAAAAATATCTTATTGAAGACCAGATAATAAAGAAATTATGACACTAAATCAATATAATTAAAAAAATTGATAAACCAAAGCAAAAAATCAATCAAGAAAATAATTAAGACATTCATGGAGGTTAACCCCAATTACGCAAACACAAAATTATTGTTATGCTTCGGCAGGAATTAATAGACTTCATCACCGTTTAACGTTTAAATCATTAATTATCAAGCTAACTAAATTTACTCTTAAACATAAAAATCAAATCTATTATATAGTCCGTTGTAAAATTACTTCCAAAGTTGTATAGTATACTTTCAAACATAAAAGTAAACTTCCAAAGTTGTATAGTATACTTTCAAACGTGAAAATCACATCTACTATTTATTCCATTATATAGTCACACGTAACCCTAACAGTAACCCCTTATCGCTTAACAATAATTATATATATTTGTGTAAAGATAATAATATTATTATTATCACAATGATAATAATAGTAATAATAGTAATAATCATGATTATATGAGAGATAATGATAATAAGAATAAGATAATGATTATAACAATAAGCTTACTACGAACTTCAATAAACTAATGATGATGTTTTGTCCCTGTCGTTGCGGGTAACAGAAGTAGTCGCGGTAGAGAATAGAATAAACGAATAAATAAATAAATATATAAAAATAAAAAAAAAATAAAAAAATAAAAAAAAATAATAATATATAATAATAAAAATAAATAAAAAAAAAAAAAAATAATATATATAATAAAATAAATAAAAATATAAATAGAAAAAAATATAAATATATAAATAGAATGAAAAAATAAATAGAGAATAGAATAAACGCTATTAGTAGAGATAGCGAATTCAGCGAGGACGAAATCCTTCCTCACCTCAGATTTGCATTTACTGAAGATCAAAGGAATAAGAATGTTAAAAAAAAAAAAAAAAAAAAAAAAAAATCATTTGTATATATTAGCATAGTTTATAAATAATTAGAAAAAACAAATCGCCCATATTTTAGAGCAACAGTTGAAAAGGATAATTGCTTTTAATAGCAGACATAGGCCTTTGAAACCGAGGCCCAACATATGAATTCTTTAACTCTTTAAATCCCCAGAATGACCGTTATACAATTTTAGGTAACTCGTGTTTTCTTTAAAATTTAGATAACGTGTTTTTTTTAAAGAATTTTAAGTCACTCGCGTTCTCTTTAAGAATTTTAGGTAGCTCGTGGTCTCTTAAGAATTTTAGGTCACTCGCGTTCTCTTAAGAATTTTAGGTAGCTCGTGGTCTCTTAAGAATTTTAGGTCACTCGCGTTCTCTTTAAGAATTTTAGGTAGCTCGTAGTCTCTTCATAAGAATATTAAAGCTTTTGATATACTCTAGTCAATCTTTCTGCTCGACACAAATATGATCACAGTTTCATTATATATATCATCTATAGAATAAGTAGTTTCACCATCATTACTCATCTCTGCACGCATGATTCATACTGTGACGTCATGGAACTACAACAAGCTTCATCTGAGGGTAGTTACAAAATGATTAGTTTAGTTATGAAACCGAACAAAGATATACCGAGGAAAGAACAAAAAGTAAAATATTTTTTGAAGTTATCTTATCTTCCCGTAATAAATGCGCTTATTGTATAGAGGGACTGCGCCACTGCAAGCTCCACAGAACAATATAATAATATTTAAAAGAAATAATAAAGAAAAACCTAATTAAACAATATGAATTTAACATTAAACATCCTTATTGTACAGAACAGAAAACAAATATGACTGCCTTCCATCAAATATCGCTCCTCGCTGCCAAACGTAGCGCGAATAAATCCTACGTTATCATACGCCATTTAACCTTCTATTTTCTCCTCTTATTTAAATATTTTGAAAATGACGTAAGATTCTCATTACTGCATGTTTTTAGTTTCATATTATTATAGTGTTTAGCTGATGGAGTCATACACCTGGCAGCTCGGTAGTCCTGGGCACAAGTCGCCACTGGAAAGTTCGTTAAAATAAATTAAGGGAAACAGAGTAATGTCAAGTAAACATTCCATTTCTGTAATCTGAGTATAACATCCGATCTTGGTTCTATATCGTTATAGTTCGTTTGTTTCTTCAGTCAATTTGCTTAATTGGCTATACTTTATTCCCGAACGTTTTATGATTCGCACTTGTAGTCTGACTCATAAATTAAACTACATAAACTCCGTGGTAATTACAGAGCAGTTATTCTCAACCGTCCAGTCTCGCCTCATCCTAAAGACCACCTTTTTAGTCCATCCAAATA